CTTTGGTTCTCAGGATCCCGACTTTGGTTCTCAGGATCCCGACTTTGGTTCTCAGGATCCCGACTTTGGTTCTCAGGATCCCGACTTTGGTTCTCAGGATCCCGACTTTGGTTCTCAGCATCCCGACTTTGGTTCTCAGGATCCTGACTTTGGTTCTCAGGATCCTGACTTTGATTCTCAGGATCCTGACTTTGGTTCAGGATCCTGACTTTGGTTCTCAGGATCCCGACTTCAGTTCTCAGGATCCCGACTTTGGTTCTCAGGATCCCGACTTTGGTTCTCAGGATCTGTTTTTACTTTTTTTCCTCCCATGTCCCCTCGCGGGCTCCGTAGTTTACCTACAAACATTTCAAATATCTCCCCAATAAAGATTTTAATTTTGTTTTAGTTCCTTTTAGTTTCCACAGATCATCACATAAAACAGAATAGTCTGTTGTGGTTTGACTAAAACTTTATTGAATTCATGAAGAAAAAAATCCTGATTTAAATAAAAATCTAAAAAAGATCACATGTGAATAAAAGCAACATTATTAAACACAAGGTGGTAGTGTAGCTCAAAGTGTCAGTGCAGTCCCAAAAACAGCTTTGTCAGAGTAACAGACTGAGTCGTGCACATGGTGCACATGGTGCAYACAGTGCAGGAGCATTCTTTCCTTCAGGCGTTCTCTTTGTTGTTGTAGAGAAAATCGTCCATGGAGGCCTGCAGAGAGCACACAGAGAGACTGAACAGTTCTGAAGAGCAGCTTCATTTTCGTCACATTTACATTTCAGTTTGAAGGAATCATCAAACTCAYGGATGTCAGCCTGCAGCTTTTAATGATTTAAATGTTTTCTCATGGAAGATGACTGTACAACACAGACTCAAATACATACAGAAAATCACCAAATCATTTTTTAAAAGTGTGTAGTTACAAAAGGTATTTCTTAACTTAACGTCTCTTAACTTATTCAGTGTTGACAGATCTCGTGAGAGAAACAAGCAGCTCTATGAAAACCAGCCCACCACATTGTTTATAACACAGGTCAGTTGTAACTATACTGTATAAACATGAAGAAAGTTTTGTAAATGATCAATTAAATGTTAGATCCAGTTTTGCATTTTATACTTTCTTATCATTGCAGCTTTAAGGTTTAAAACAGAGAGTGAGAGTTCATCATGTGTTCTCTCTCTATCATCAACCAAAGCTGTTACATTCTGRTGTAAAAGTGTAAAGTGGAACCAGGGAGAGGTTAACGGTTGAATCATTCTGATATGAAGGAAATAAGTGTTTTTAGAGGTTTAGTTTTGCAGTCTCTCTGTTACATCAGCTTGGGACAACCGGGCTGTTGGGAGGGACTGGTGTGTTTTTCTAGGATGGGCCAGTGTTATATCGTTCACGAGTGATTCGTTCAAATGATTCGTTCATTTGAGTGAACGAACTGAATCAAATCACTTCATT